GGGAGTTGAAGTCCGGACATCTTCAAGTTGCCAAGGTTGAGAAACACTGCTCTATAGTATAAACGACAGCAGAGGAGTAAACCGAATGGTGGCTGGGGAATTCTGGGAGTTGAAGTCCGGACATCTTCAAGTTGCCAAGGTTGAGAAACACTGCTCTATAGTATAAACGACAGCAGAGGAGTAAACCGAATGGTGGCTGGGGAATTCTGGGAGTTGACATCTTCAAGTTGCCAAGGTTGAGAAACACTGCTCTATAGTATAAACGACAGCAGAGGAGTAAACCGAATGGTGGCTGGGGAATTCTGGGAGTTGACATCTTCAAGTTGCCAAGGTTGAGAAACACTGCTCTATAGTATAAACGACAGCAGAGGAGTAAACCGAATGGTGGCTGGGGAATTCTGGGAGTTGAAGTCCAGACAGCCTCAAAAGTTTGTCACGTTTTTGAAAGACGCAGCTGCGCCGTTTCTGTCCTCCCAATCTCGTTGATTTCTCCCCCCCCCATCTCATTCAGAGGCAACTTTTGAATTTGGCAATACCATGCTTGGAAGAGAGAGAGGTTCTGATTTTGATCGCACAAGAGACATTATTACATTGTGGGTTTGCGTGTGTGTCTATCTTGTTAAAGAAACTTTGGCCAAAAGTGTTCCCCAAAACATGAGATTATGGTATCATTCTTCTCATGCTTTGCTGATCTCACAAGATCTGGCTCCTTTTTGTCTTTACTGGAGAAGAGACCGATAGAAAAAGAGGCACAAGGCAGGAAATGGAAGATGGATGTTGAGATAGCCACATAGAATAAAGATATTTTCCTGCTATTGTTTCGACTATCTGAAAGAGGATGGAATAATATCATTTTTTTTTTATTTCCAGAGCAGGTTGAAATTACACAAAAAAGAAGATTTTGACTAAGTACCGTATTTTTTGGAGTATAAGATGCACTTTCTCCCCCTAAAAGAAGGTGAAAATTTGGGTGCGTCTTATACACCGAATATAGCCCTGCCCACCCACCGGCCCTCACCTTCTGGCCTCTGCCTCCCAGCAATTTGCCTCCTTGCAGAAAACAGCAAGCTTCAGCTTCAGCACAGTCTGATTAGCACAAGCAGCTGATTGTCGGTTGGTTTGGCCTCTGTCTGGCGATCAGCTGTTTCAGGCTGTCTATTGTCACCTCCGCACAATTTTTGGCCTCCACATCCCATTTTTTGGCCTCTGGGCACCCGGTTTTTGGCCTCCGCGCGCCCCATTTTCAGCCCATTCTGATCCCCACCGCGGGATGAAAAATGAGGCGTGTGGAAGCTGAAAACGGGATGCAGAGACCGAAAATGGGGCGCACAGATGCGGCAATAGACTATGGTAATCCCCGCACCCTGAAACAGTTGATGGCTGGGAGACCAGTCCAACTACAATCAGCGGCTTGTGCTAATCAGGCTGTGCTGAAATTGAAACTGAAATGGGCTGTTTGCCTTTTGCTGCAAGGAAGCAAATTGCTGGGAGACAGAGGCAGATTTTTTTTTCTTGTTTTCCTCCCCAAAAGGTAGGTGTGCCTTATACTCTGAAAAATGTGGTATTTGGAAGAAGGTCCTCAGATTTTCAGTTCTCTAATAGCAGGACAGGTTTCTTAGAAGCAGGGGCAATAGATTTATTGCAGGAGGGTTCAACTTTGGAATGGCGCAAAATAGCTATGCCCACCTACTCATTTCCTGGGTTGGCACGATGCAGGGGAGCTGACAGATGGATTTTCGCATAAGTGCTAAGCTACGAAAGATTAGCTCTGGTTAGTACAACTAAGGTTAGGGTAGTGGGCGAAAGCACCTGCTGGGTTAAATGTGTCATGTTAAAAAACAACATACGATTTTTATATCTGAGGAACAGATTTCATGTTTGGATCCTATTTGGCATTGTTTGAACACACCCCCACTGGCCGAGATGAAAATATTATTCGTGTTATTAGTAAACCCAGCAGTGACTTAATAAGCATATCGGAGTTTTACGTTTGCTCTGAGCGTTCTCAATAAAGGCCTCAAAATTGCAAGCATACAACGACAACGAGGACGGAAACAAAAGGCGGGGAACCCCACGCAAACGTTTCTAGCCTCCGTGCATTTTGGGGGCGCAGAGAATAAATAGCCATGAAATGCTTGGCTTTTGTAACTCACAATTAAGCCGCGCGCCAAACGCACATCCACAGATTCCGCATGTAGCTAAAAATATCCCAGCTGTTGGATGTCTTAAGACATTGTGTTGTTTTCTAAAAAGGCAGAACTGCGGAGCTGCCTGCTGCTCTGAACTAGGTCAGCGAGCATCCATTATTTGGGAGAGGGGAGACAGGCACGGGGAAGAGATGAGCTGGGGCGGGGCGGGGGATTTAGGACAACAGTCCAGGGGAGGGCTGGTTTTCATTTAGGCACTTCAGGTAGTTTCGTGTGAAATAACACACACTCTGTATGGAACAAGAGTGCATCTAACTGCCTTAAAATTAAGTCTATGGCCTCTCTCAGCATTGAATTCTTGTTTTTCTTACATGGGCTGGCTGGGGAATCAGTTCAGCATTGTCTGCCCCTGCAGGGTGCGAAATCCCTGGGAAAACCTCCCCAGAAAATCCCCTTATGGACCTCTGCGGAGATTCTCAAGTCATCCAGGTCATGGTTGTCCTAAAGGCGTTTCTTTTTTTCCCAAGAGGCTATTTCAGTGGTTCCCAAACTTGGCAACTTTAAGACTTGTGGACTTCAACTCCCAGAATTCTCCAGCTCTGCTCTGCTGGCTGGAGAATTCTGGGAGTTGAAGTCCACAAGTCTTAAAGTTGCCAAGTTTGAGAAACCACTGGGCTATTGGATTTTCCTGTTTTTCTTCGAAGAGGTTTCGCTTCTCATCCAAAGCAGCTTCTTCCGTTCTTCAGTCCAGTCAGAACGGAAGATGCTTCTCGGATGGGAAGCGAAACCTCTTCAAAGAAAAATGAGAAAGGCCAGTCACTCTTAGAGGGGCGGGGGGGGGGGGGGGGAGGACCCTTTGGGACTGCTAATTTTTTTTTCCATACACTACAACAACTAGAAACAAAAGAACCGGCTAGCTAGCTAGGCAATCTGCTTCATGGGCTCAGTTATGATCCACCAGTTCCACCAGATACATAGGATGTTCCGATGCCAATAATGCTCCTTTCTCTAGATATCTGATGCGTGGAATTAAAGAGCCCCTGTATTTTTTCCCCTCCTTCTGCAGGAATGCTTGGATAAATTTGGAGACAGTTTGCAGGAAATGGTCAACTATCACATGGTGAGTGGAGTCCTTTCCCAAGTTGCTTTCTGGGCCGACAAGTTCAATGGAGGTTCTTGGAAGTCACGAAACACTCATGAATTAGGAATTCCAGCATCTCTCTAGCCAACGGCGAGATAATTTGGGAGGTGAGGTGTAATAAGAGATCAGGGGTGAAATTCAGCAGGTTCTGACAGGTTCTGGAGAACCGGTAGCAGAAATTTTGAGTAGTTCGGAGAACCGGCAAATACTACCTCTGGTTGGCCCCAGGAGTGGGGAGGGAATGGGGATTTTGTAGTATCTTTCCCCAGTGGGGAGGTAATGGGGATTTTGCAGTATCCTTCCCCAGGAGGGGGGAGGTAATGGGGATTTTGCAGTAT